ATTGTGCTGCTAAAGTCTTTGTAAATAGGGAGGGGTGGAGGGGTTGAAGGGAAGGCAGGGGAATGGGGAAAAAATAAGAACCAAGAGAGATTATGTAAAGGTGCAAATTTCCAATGATGAATGTAACTGTACTGTAGACCTAAAATGTACCAATAAAATTAATTTTTAAAAAATTTTTAAAAAGGAAGGAGAGGGATAAAGCCCAGAGATTCAAATTTGGAGGCCGAGGGGAAAAAAAAGGAGATAATAGTCAAAGAAGAAATATTCCCAGCCCCAGGCCACTGTGCCTTCTCAGGACCAAAACTAGGTATCTGAGATGGCTGAGGATCTGAGTGTCAAAGTTCTAGTTAGCAGGTAAAGGGGATACGGCGGTCAAAGGACAAGCATGAAAATACCCTAGGAGGGAGTTGAAAATTTATTAAAGGGCTTCATGAGGGCAGCTGAGAAAACAGAGTGGTGGCCTCAGGCTGAGACATTCCAGTCTCTGTAGGAAAGCCACAAAGCCAAAGCCTGAATCTGGCCAAAGAAATGGATGGTCGGTCATCTTAGCTCCAGTGAGGGCCGGAAGCCTAGGAGCTGCTTCCCATGCCTGAGCTGAGAGCTATTTATACATTCAAGACTGTGCCTAACAAAACATGCCTGATTAGTAAGGCACATCTGCCTCCCCTCATCATGTCATCTCAGGTCCCTTAGAGTGCCCAATGCTGGGCCTGGTACCTGCCTGTAGGCTGAGATGTGCTGTGAGCAGCCACTGAGCAATCTTAACAGTCATCGAGGGAAGAGCCCGGCAACCTGTGTTCCTTCCTGGAAGTGGGACTGGACATGGCCACTCTGCTTTGCTAGGCTAGTAGAAAGCTCCTTCCCTGTCAGCATTCCTCTGGAAAGAATTCAGATAAGCGGCCTGCCAAGGGCCAAGCCAAACAAAGAAGGGAATAAAAACCCCAGTCCTGAGGCAGAACTGCACCCTGGCTGGTGCACAGCACCCCCATGGCCAAGTGACCTAGCAAGTGGGAATGAAGGTCTTCAAAGGGGGGTGGGCTGCTAGGGTCACTTTGCCCAGAGGCTCACCACTGAGGACAGCCACCTTCCACAGGCAGGATACAAACCAGTAACATGGATGTCAGGCTAGGCAGACACGTGGACAAGCCTCGGCCACCTCTACAGGGAGGCTGGGAGCACAGGCCAGCCCTGTGCAGGGCTCCCAGGCTTTGACAGGGAGGCTGGGAGCACAGGCCAGCCCTGTGCAGGGCTCCCAGGCTTTGAGGCCTTCCGGGTGCCTAGTTCCAGGCCCTGTGCCAGCCTCTGGCTTTATGGTAGGTGAGGACAGGACAGCATGCTTTCAAGGACCACAATCAAAAAGAACAATCCTGCTAGTCCCTCTAAGCTGTGGGTGAGATGTCTTTCCTCACAGGATGCCCAGACTCCCCAACAGTCTGGTCGGTCTTGATGGGTGGGCCGTAAGGTGCCATAAGGTGCCGGTCACCCTAAGTGCGACAGCACTTGACACAGATGTGGCACACTCAGTCCTGCTGTTCAAAGGTCTCATCTTCACTGGGGGAAGCCTGGCTATGGCTCCAGCTTGTGGCTTCCAACAGAGTTGTCAGGAACTCGAGGGGTCTCACAGGAGGACGCTGAGTGTCTCATAGATTCAGGCCTCTGGAAATTTCACCTTGGTCTGCTTCTTCTCCAGGGCATACACAATGGAGGTGCAGCATACCCCTGCCAGCTTACAGCCCTGGCCATAAGAGGAACAGCAGCAGATTTCACCACCAATGACGTCCGTGATAAAGAACACGTGGCCACTGAAGCACAGGGACAGCTTATCAAATAGCTCCGTGTTGTGCAGCAGGCGGTCGTCTGAGTTGCTTGTTGCTTCTGTTGTAGGGCAGCTTCACCACAGGCGTGGTAGAGGACTCCTCCCTCAGGGACAGGATGATGAGGATGTTGCACACAGGCTAGGAGTTCTCGTCCTGCACGGCAGTCTGGCACAGGTTGACCAGCCCCTGACTGAGGTAGTATTTTGCTTCAGCCATCAATTCCCGATTTTGAGGGACGATGATGGTGTAATCTCAGAGGTAATTCAAGGTGGTACCAAAGTGCTCCCCAGCCTCGTCGGTCAGCACCTCCGTGCACCTGCTGAACGTGGCCTTCGGCATGGTGCTGTGCCAGGTGAGTGACCACACAGAGGTGTAGTACAGGGAGCAGCCCACGCTGAGCTGCATGTACTTGTTGCCCAGCCCACCTCCCTTGAAGCTGCTTGGCGTGGGCTTGGCCTCTGAGGCTAGGCACAAACAGGTGTCCCCAGATATCTCCCGCTGCAGGCAGATGACCACTCAGCAGGAGGTGAGCTTGGAAGGTTCCACTATGGTGGAGGTGGTCGGAAGTGAGACCAGAGCAGAGGCCAGAGTCTCATACTCTCCACACAGCCCCAGGGGGCTCCTCTGCTTTCATCTGAGTGGCCACCCACCTGCCTGCCTGAGATCCTGGGCTGTGAGCTCACATCCTGCGCTCACCAACTCCTCCCAGAGGAGCAGCCCGGGCCTGCTAACCTGGGAAACTCAAAATGGATTATCTTTAAAGGACAGTACTGGAAGAAAATGTCAATATAGGATTCTATAATCTCCAAAAATATCCTCTGAAAAGGTAAGGTAAAATTATTTTTAGAAAACAAAGGCTGAGAAAATCTTTTACCAAAAGACAGCATAACAAAGAATGTTAAAAGAATTTATCCAGGCTGGGGAAAATGATACTTAGATCAAAACGTAGATTTAAACAAAGGAATATAAAACACATTTAATAGGAAATATAAAGATAATTGTGTTTATTTAAT